GCCTATTTTGATTCTTTTGTAGAGACAGGGTCTCCCTGTGTTGCTTAGGGTCTCCCTATATTACCCTTAAACTCCTGGGCTCAAGCTGTCCTCCCTCTTTCACCTCCCAAAGTGCTGGTATTACAGATGTTAACCACCTTGCCCAGTCGCTATACTATAATTAATCTATCCATTCTACTGCTGATGGGCATATGGGTTGTGTGATGGCAAATTTTATGTGTCTCTGCTTCTCTGGACAACCGAGACTAACACAGGTAGTGTCCAATTTGGAGCTGTTATGAATAGTGTTGCTCTGAACATTCTAATGCATGTTTTGGTGAACACATGTGAGCATTTTGATAGGCTGTAGACCCAGTAGTGGAAATGCAGTCTCAAGGTGTGTGTGCATTCTGCTTTAGGAGTTCATCTGCTTTTGTATTTTGGGTTTGTTTGTTTTGAGACAGAGTCTCGCTCTGTTGCCTAGGCTAGAGTGCAGTAGCATGATCTTGGCTCATTGCAACCTCCGCCTCCCGGGTTCAAGCGATTCCCCTGCCTTAGCCTCCCAAGTAGCTGGGATTACAGGTGAGCATCATAATGTCTGGCTAATTTTTGTATTTTTAGTAGAGACGGGTTTTCACCATGTTGGCCAGGCTGGTCTTGAACTCCTGACCTCAGGTGATCCGCCCACCTCGGCCTTCCAAAGTGCTAGGATTACAGGCGTGAGCCACCATGCCTAGCTCATCTGTTTTGCAAATAGAAATACATCTGGTGCCTACCGCTCCTAAATCAGCTCAGGTGAACCAGGAAGGTATGCTCCATGCTCTGAATTGTAGCACTTTTATTTCCTTCCCCTCAGTTTCAGCCATTTCCTGGGCTAGAGGAAACAGTTTCATTAGGGTGCCAATTACAAATGGGATCCAGGACCTACAAAGGAAAGGAAATGCTTCCGATTTGTAAAGACCAAGATTTGAATGTTCAACCCATTCACTTTCCTTGATGTTTTCTCTTAAATCTGCTGGGAACAGGCATGGCCCAAATCAAACACTGATTCTCTCTTTCTGTCTCTCTAGGAATGTTCTTAATGAGTCGCCAGTTCAATTACCGCCTCTGCCACCAAGGAATTGGCCTTCTCTAGAAGACTCCTGTAAGTATATTTTACTGGTAGCAGTTTCATTTAGGGTA